TAAGTAAAGCAGAAACCTAGGATACTGCTCACCTTTTGGGTTATTCAGTGTGCACAAAAGTATGTATACTGTGTGCCATGCTAGGTCAGACTCACAATCTAAAATGTATTCCATTTCTGAAAGTGGCACCAGGGAACTGCTATGGAAGTTCAAGGTTGCCCTTGTACTTCTTATCCTAACAAGTTAGAGATTTTCAACTAAAAAGTATGACAGAGCCTGGTAAAGAACTGGTTTTACCTTCACAAAATTTAAGAAACTAGAGATCTAATTGGAGATCATGAAATTAGAATTTATCTCCCATCTCTGCTGCTCCAGTGCCCTATAATATACGAAAACTATCTCCTTATTTGATACTGAATTAGTTTTGGAACGTCTAAAGCTCTTTTCCAGCTCCCCTGTTTTCACTATGACCTCAGATATCTGCTAGCCACGAAAATCCAGTATACCAAATGGAATATAGGGGATTTGTCAAGTTTTAAGTTGGAAGTGAGGAAAAAATGTATTTTCTATTTGAAATAATTCCTTTTTCAAATTTAATTTATTAAAAGTTTGGCTTGAGACTGGGGTTGTGGCTCAGAGGTAGAGCACTCGTCTGGCATGCATTGGGCACTGGGTTCGATCCTCAGCACCACGTAAAAAATTTAAAAAATAAAAGATATTGTGTCCACCTATAACTAGAAAATAAATATATATAAAAAAGTTTGGCTTGACGGATAGCAGGTGCTGAGCCTATAAGTCTACATTAATGCATCACAGTCTGGATAGGATATTTAATATCTCCTTCTTAGCCTAGAATTTCAAATGATTAGGATCTATAGTTAATGATACATAAAATTTTGTTGATCTTTATAATGCACGTCTTTTTTAGTCCCCATGTCTGTATCAAACGAGCTCATCCTTGTGTTTTCTCATAAGTATCTTCGTATTTACTGACATACATCAAGAGGTTTTGTGGCTTGTAGGGGACTCTGAACCATTTGACAGTCTAGGTACATAGTCATCCTACATTATCTAAGCCCTGATTTCATTATTCTAGTCTTCTTTTATTCTCCCAATGTATATAATGTGTACTTGCTTGAAATTCCTTATAACAAGCACATTCTTGCTTCTAAGTTTTAGCATACACCAGATCCTCCTTCTTTTTTTTTTTTTTTAACACCAGGGATTGAACCCAGGGATGCTTAACCACTGAGCCACATCCCCAGCCCTTTCTATATTTTATTTAAAGACAGGGTCTTGCTGAGTTGCTTAAGGCCTTGCTAAATTCCTGAGGCTGGCTTCAAACTCATGATCTTCCTACCTCAGCCTCCTGAGCTGCTGGGATTACAAGCATGTGCCACCGTGCCTTGCCCCAGTTCTTTCTTTAGAATGCCTTTCCCTGACTGTCCTCAAATATTTCATGCCTTATCTTATAAAATTCCAAATCTAAAGTCACCTCCTATAGAAAGCCGTTTCTGGTTAATCTCATTCACCTGATTCCTTTATTCTAAGACTCATTTCCTAGTCTGTTAAACCACTTTGATTCTTTATAATTGCTATTTCTGTACATTGTCACCCAACAAGTACAGTCATTCTAGGAATGATGATCTTCCTCTATTCTCTTGTCTTTGTTTATTCCACACAAACCTTTTGAAGACCTATTGACAACATTTTCAGTTTCCTCAGAGTTCCAGTCCACCTTCCATACCCTTTCCTTTTACTTACAGTTACATTCCTAGAGAAACAAGGCATGTGTTCTGGCCTTGGCTTTTACCACAGCACGTGTGTGGCAGCCTGTTAAATAGGTCCCTGCATTTGGAAAGGATTTTAACCCCTTGGTTTGACAATCTCTGCATTCTACTCAGACACCTTCAAGAAGCAGATGTGAGAGCAGAAGTAGCTTGGAGGTGGAGCAGGGATATTTCCACTGAAAGCCAAGTTAGTGTTCTTCTTTTTAACATAAGACCTATGAAGTTGCTGTCGTCAGCAGCTCACCCGACACTCTCCTGCTCTGCCTCTTTTCTAGGAGTCAGGGTTAGTTTAAGAAAAAGCCTCTTGCTAGAAGCCATGACCTCCTACTTTTATCCCCTCCATCTGGTGTGTGGCCTCATGGGGCTGTGCTGCTATGCAGGAGGTGAGCAATGGAATTCTTTAGATGATGACTTCTGAGCCCACATACGGAGTTCAGTGGGGGTGGGAAGCAGGGAGAGCAATGAGAGCCAAGATCGATGGACCAAAAAGTAAGGTTTGCTAGGGGAGAAGTCCTAACTACATAGGTAGACTATTTTCCTGAGGTGTTCTCTAGCTCAAACAGAGTCTCAGGTCAGGGAGCTATAGCTTCTCAGATCTGTGATTGATGCTCCTGCAGCTTTCCCTTCTGCCTTCACAGTTGGGGTGAACCAGTGGGATAGGTAGGGTATTTGAGGTTTTTTTGTGTCTCTAATGGAATACATTCCAGGATCTAAGAGGGAAGGGTTCCCCTTACACATATCCTCTGTTGGAGCTGCTTTTCTTCACTGTCTTGCACCTAAACAGAGGTCCAAATTTTGAATGAAGGCGGGAGGAGAGCAACAAAAAGTTTTGATCAAGTGAAAATTTTTTGTCTGCCTCATCTCACAGGGATTTCTCTGCAGGGCAGATGCCTCTTGTCTTGGTGTAGATGAATTGTGTCTCAGCTAGAGGTCCCAGGATCTTTACTAAGCCCTGGTTAGGCATCTGGGCTGGGAGAGGACGGTTTCGTAGCACCCTTATTACCTGTTCTCACTTTAGAAACTTAAGAGTTGACAGCATTTTTAAAAAGAATGAAGTCTCAAAGGAAATTCTAGTGTATACTTTAAAAGCCCAGAGTCTTAATAGTTTCCTCTCATGGTTTCTCGTGACTACTTGTACTCTGTCTAGACATTTAGCAGCACTTGAAAAGAACTAGATAAAATTAAAGCAAAAAAATGTTAATCTAAAAAAAAAAGGAAAAAGGACTACAAAAAAGGAGGAGCCTTAGATGGCTAAATGTGGGATACTTTGTATAGTGAGCACCTGGTAGTGTTGGAAATAGTGGCAAAGTGGCAAAAAGAGGATGTTGATGATGTTCAGACAGGCACAGGCTATTCCTTTGTAAATTTGGCTCAGATGTATTCTTCTAGCCATCCTAAGAGTCCTATGGGGCTTGAACATTTTGTAGCAATTTCTGTTCTGAAGGTGCTAGTACCCTGGTGCCCCCAGTCCTAGACATTTTCATGGTTTAAGGCAAGTACCCAGAATTTAAAGACCTAGGTTTGAGTTCTAGCTGGGCCACTCACTGTTAGTGTGATCTTGGACAAATCACTGACCTTCTGTGAATGGCATCCTTTAAACCCCTACATCACAGGATTGTTGCAAGGATGTACATATACACTCAGGCATTTTGTCAACAATAAGGCTTTTTAGGAACCATATTGTCATTCTTGGGGAAAGCCCCAATTTGAACATTATCAAAGAATGAAACTATGGATGAAACCATCTTTCTTTTTTTCTTCACTCAGTATAGCCTGTTTGGTCAGAAACAGAAACAGGGTTTTGATATCAAGTTTTCAGATTTTGGCTTCTTTGGTCAAAGAGAGAGAATGCCCATGTGCAACTGCTCCGTCCATAGATTCATGGGCATAATGGCAGTGAACAAAGGAAAATTTTAAGCCAGCATATTTCAGAGTTAGGGGACAAACAGGAGAATGCTTATCTTGTATGTTCAAATCATGGGAAGCTAAAATATTCTAGGTAAATGAGGAAACTCTACTAAGATGCTCAGGGATAATTTAGGCCATGAATGAGAAGTAGGGGAATGAGCTTATAAATTCTTTCTCTCCTTTATCTCGTCTACCTTTCGAGTTAGGATTTGGTGTATTACTCACATCCCAGTGGCTACTGCCTGAAACCTGTCAATCACCCAAAGAAATATCAGTTTCTGGGAAAGTGTTCAGTGCAACTGTGACACATATTTACCCTAGTGAAGTCACTGCTTGGTCTCTTTCACTTCCTCTCTCTTATGAACATCATCCCTAAAATCCAAAACCATTCTGTTTTCTAACCCAATAAGAGTTTAAAACCAGTCATAAGCAGCAGGCCATGCAATTCTACATACCTCATGCAGTCACAGGAAACTACCCCACCAGAGCACGAGGATGTCTATCTTACTGTCTCCAGCATGAATCAGCCTTAAGCTGTACTGCTTCAGCCACTCTGTTTAGTTGGCAGTTCTCCACCCTTGATATCTTCTCTCCATAGCCATTCGGCCTCATTCCCCCGCTACCTCCTGGAGGAGTACCAGTTCCCATGCAGTTGCCTGCATATTGATAATGCAGCTTTGTAACTTGGTTACAGCTGTACCCTGTTCTTAATACACTTTTTGAAGGATTTGTTGAAAATCTAATTGCTTTTGTGGGGATTGGATGAAGGGACATGACTACAACTTCCATACAGAGAGAAGCTACGTGTGCATCAATATGTGTGCACCTCCTGTATGCCCATGTCTGTGTGCTTTTTGCATGTGTATCTTCGTGGTTGTGCTTGGGCTGACACAGCAGAGTAAAAAGAAAGCATCTCTTTCTTATTTTACTACATTGCTTCAAAGATGCCCAACCCCCGTAGTAGCAGGCAGTTCCCAAGTGGAGGGTGGGGGCAGAGGCCTCCACCAAGGCCATCAATAACCAGGTGTGAGCTACAGGTCTCTGTGTAATGTGAAGCTCTCCCGTATTTCATTTCTGCACCCAGGGGGCGGCTCTGCAGGATTGCTTACGGAGAGCTCTGTGTCTGGCACCTCTCTCCACTAGGCCCAGGCGCCCAGGGTCCCACCGACCTGCCCAGGAATGCATCGCATTGTTCTCTGGTGCTGTAATTTGGCTGCAGGAGTTAGGCTGAATGCCTCCCCAGGATGAGAAACATACTCTCCCTAGTGTACTCCCTTCTCCCCAGCTAGCTTGGGCTTCTGCCCTATGACCACTGAGAGCATTTAAATAAAAAACTCAGAAAAGGCTAAGGAAAAAAAAAAATCCTGATTATCTGTCTTTTATTAAGCTATGTAGACTCTCATGTCCTGAGTGGGTCTGAGAATTTGGCAAAGGACTTAGTGGTTAGTGTTCTTGATAAGGGATGTGAAAGGAAAAAATATTCTCTGCATCAGGAGGAGTAGAAACAAGGCAGTGTGTATTCATGAGTTAGATCCACAAAACTTTAGGAACAGACCCTCAGGGCGATATTGGATTCTTTTAATTAATCTTAAGTCCCTGATTTCATTTTACTAACATTCCTGTAAGAAAGAGTATGGATTAGTGCCATTATTCAGGCTAATAACAATAAAAGTTGGCTCTTAACTTCAAGGCTAAGTAAGTTAAGACTGGCTTCTTATTTTACTTGTTACAGATTGTGCAGCTGAGGTACTTTAGTAATGTGCTTTCTCTAAAAAGATACTCAAAGGATAGAGATAGAATTTTTAAACTTTGTGTCCAAATAGCACTTACTACAATGCATTATACCTAAATATTTACCAAAAGTTAAAGGAAATGAGAACCAACAAGGAGAAGTGGGAGACATGAGAGAAGCTAGGATGCTGCAGATGGTACAGACTGCTGTCAAATATGGGAGGGATGGAAGAGGGGTTGCTTAGAGACAGAGTGGAGGAGTAACAGAAATGGAGTCTTGACCACACCAAATAAAGTTCTCATTTCGTTGCTTGTTCCAAATAAATTAGTTTGTTTGTATAGTGCAGAACGAACGCCAGTTGTCTAAAGCTAATTGGAATGCAAAAGCAAATTAAGGACTAAGAGGAAAAATTTAATTGCTTAGCCATACAGCTTCTGTATTGGGGCTGAAATATCTTTTCTTTTGCTTATCCTTCTCACTCTCTGGACAGCTTGTTCTCTTAACCAATTATAGGAAGTTGCAAAATCTGCATCTTTGTAAGCTAGAATTTGGAGCTCAGAGAAAAAAAGCATAGAGTAATATGAGATGCCAGAAGAGGTCTACTCACTTCCTTTAACAGGGTAAGAACCAAAAATCAAAGAATCAATAATAGGGCACAGGAAGTTTTTAACTCAGGTTGACTTCTCTTGAAAGGCCTATGCCATCTTTAATGTAGTATCTGGATGTTCTTGAAAGAGCAGGGCTGGCTGGGACCTGAGGCTCTTCTCAGCAGTCTGGTATACATGGCAGTATTAGTGAATCCATTCAACGCTGTTCCTGAGTTTAGACTGGCCATGGCCCCCTTTACCTTCTTACTATTCCAAATCTTTCTTCCTCTTAATCCCAGCCCAAGATGTCAGAAACTTTTCTTCCCACCCCCTATCTAATCCCAACACTGCTTCACCAGTTATCCAGTTGACTCCATTCTGCAAGGAAGACATTCCCTTGGCCTGACTCACTCAGTCCCATTTCTCCACAGGCATCCCTTCACCGCAGACCACAACGACCCTGACTAGCTCATGTTTTGTGTTAATGGATTTGAAATTGGAGCAAATCTCCTCACCAAAGAAAAACCACCCTAAACTCTCCCACACAGGTCTCAGCAGGTTACATAAATATTAGTCCTATCATTCAAATAAATCTGCCCCCCAAGGTCCAGAACTGTGGCTCTCCCAACTTCCTGCTGCCTCTACAGAGTGATGTTGCTCCACAAACATATGAGGACCCTAAGGGATATGGGGAAGGAACTTGGGAAAGGAAAGGGGGTCTATATCCAGATTATTTTGTAAGCCCCTTGGTCTACAGCCTATTGTAAGACCATGCATTCCTAAATTAGAAGTCCCTAGAGAAGTCATGATGAGTTTGACCCGTCTGGGGCTTTGGTGAAGAGTGTCTCAATAATTCAGCCCGTACATACCCTAATTTTACAAAAATAAATTTTACAAAAGTAGAAGCTCAGAGAATTTAGGGATCTTACTGAAAATACAAAAACCAATAAGTGACACAACTGTGATTTTAACCCAATTCTTCACTGAAAGTTCCTATACCACTCTGCTAGTTTAAAATACCAACAGGCAAGAGATAACCACTAAGTCACATAAAATTAGGTTTGGGGGACTCTGTCCATTATTAAACCTGCTATCTCTAGAGACTTCACTACTACAAACCTAAGTCAGGCAACAGGTAGTAGCATGGAAGGAATCCTCCCCTATTTAAGCCAAATGTGGAGTGAATATTTATCACCACTAGGACTTGGAGAATCACTAAATAAAGATTTGTTGAGTAAATGGGGGAAGGCTATTGCCTTCTAAGATATTTATCATTTTGGCCTAAGCCCCAGCTCTCTTTATGTATCCAGTGACTCCTGCCCTTAGATTCAAAAGTTAGGATCCTCTCCTAAAGAATTACCAAAGTTAAGCTGGGCATAGTGGTGTATGCCTGTGATTCCAACTACTCAGGAGGTTGGGGCAGGAGGATCACAAGTTGGAGGCCTGCCTGAGCAACTTAGTGAGAGCCTGTCTCAAAAAAAAAAAAAAAATCACCAAAGCCATAGATCACTACCTTCCTAGTATATACTGATGCCTCATGTGCCCTTGAGATCAGCTATTCTTTACCCTTTCCCACCCTCCACGAGTTACCTACCTTTTACTTAGTGTTTCCCAAACCTAACTAACCTCCAGAATAATGTGTACTCTCCCAGTACTGTTCCAGGATGTTCTCAAGATCTGTTAAACATAAAACCATTGCATGCCACCTCAGTTTGAACAGGCAACAAGTGAACAAAAGAAGCAGTACTGTCTGATATAGGTAGAAAAGAAAAAGAATGTGTGTTTGTAGTCATATGATTTTTTCCCCCTATAAAACACAACAGTTTATAATCATATGAGCACATGAATGGAACTTTATCCTCTATGGCTAACTCTAGTAATCTTAGGCTCTTGATAGTAGAATGCTTAGCCTAAGAGTATCTCTTGGAGAATCAGGCAGTCTGCTCAAACTGTCTTCAGGAAAGGATCATGCAGTATCATCTCTGTCCTGTCCACCCTCAGCCAGGGTAGGGTCAAAAGAAAGCTGTTTCCAGGTACCCTTTCTCTTACATATCCAAGAAGTATTAGAAACCAGTGCAAGGGAAAGGAAAAATGAGCCTTGACCAGGTACTTTAGTGCAACTCAAATCACTCCGAAGACCCCCTACTTCTTCTGCTCCCCCTTCAAACCTCCAAAGGGGAAATCAGGGAGCCACTCAGTTTCTTATATCCCCTATTAACTCCTTCCCAGGGCTAAGGAACCAGGACACCATAGTCCTTCTGGATTATTCTCCAAGTCCTTAAATAGAAGCTATAGCAGCCCAGGGTTGAGGGTGGAGAAAGGTGTGCATGCAAGGATCTTGTGCTTTTGAGTTGGGAGGCTTGAAGTGGAGGGATGGTGAGGTATCTGTGTGTTCAGGTCTGGTCCAGCCACTCTGCCTTCTTGGGGGCCTTGCAAGTATGGACATCCACAGTGTTTCTGCACTCCTTGCATCGCACAGCACAGCACCAGTGGAATTTGCACTCACACTGAGTGACACGGGTGACTCGAGTTGTGTCGTACCCTCGGCCACAGCACATGATTTCACAACCATCTGTTCCTTTAGATGTCTTGCTGCAAACACGACCTGCAGTGCCTAAGGAACCTGGGTTGGGAAAGAGACGGAGTGAAAACCAAGTTATCTCTTATTTCAGCAGCTCTGGACAACCTCATCCACATTCTCAGGATGAAGCCATAAAGAATCTCTCTTCTGAAAATACATCCTCTCGCCAAAATGATCATTCCCTCATTGCCCTCTAAACCAGAGTTGTTATTTCCTACCATCAAGGCTCCTCAAAGGCTACTGATTTCACCTGCAGTTCTCTCCCTGCCAATAAACAATTTTTATATCCTCTTCAAAATATAACTTTAAATGTTCATAATTATTAAAGCATGGTGAGGTTTTTTATGTTTGAAATTTTCTATAATAAACAGTAAAACAGATGGGTGCCATGTCACACTCCTGTAATCCCAGTGGCTTGGGAGGCTGAGGCAGGAGAATAGAGCGTTCAGAGCCAGCCTCAGCAACAGCAAGGTGCTAAGCAACTCAGTGAGACCCTGTCTCTAAATAAAAATACAAAAAAGGCTGGGGTTGTTGCTTAGTGGTTGAGTGCCACTGAGTTCAACCCTCAGTTACCCCCCACCAAAAAAAATAAAACAATAGCCAGGCATGATGGTACATACCTCCCTACTCAACTGAAACAGGAAGATTACAAGTTCAAAGTAATCCTGGGACTTAGCAAGACCCTGACTCAAAATAAAAAAATAAAAAGGTCTGGGGAATGTATCTCAGTGGTAAAGTGGTTTGGGTTTAATCCCCAATACCTCACCTCCCTCCCCCCAAAAATATCAATAAAATAACAACTACAATAAAAACTGAGCCTATAATTTATCTCTTCTAAGACATCTTACCACAACTGTAATCTTGATACCATTTTTTAGTATTTTGGACCTTGGTTTATATTTTATTAAATTGCACTGTACTACTATACTGAGAAGAATTATAGAGCGTGGCCATTAAAAGCGTGAGCTCAGACTTCAAATTGTCTAGATTCAAATACCAGTTCTGCCACTTCTTAGCTGTGTGACTTATCAAGTTAATTAATGTCTCTGGGCCTTAGTTTTCTCATATGTAAATGGAAATAATAGAAACATCTAACTTAGGGGATTATTAAATCTATAATCTCTGTTCAGATAAGGAGGTGCACCGATTAGCATGACTGATTGAAGACTTATCTCTAAGGAGTTCCTAATGAATATTCTTGGTATGACCCCTTATAGCAAGAACTTCTTTTTTAAGTATTTATTTTTTAGTTGTAGGTGGATACAATACCTTTAGTTTATGTATTTTTAATGTGGTACAGAGGATCGAACCCAGGGCCTCGTACGTGCTAGGCGAGCACTCTACTGCTGAGCCACAACCCCAGCCCATAGCAAGAACTTTTTGAAGGGTAAGAATACCCTTGAATTCCAGGCCCCACTTTGAGTTTTATGAGACTTAATTTTATGTTTTCCCCCTGCATAGGGAATGCTCAGAACTGTATTTTGATCAATTGCAAAAGAGATCCTGTCAACAAAAAAATTAAAGTCAGAATTTTCTATGGGTTGGACCAAAAGATGAGAAGTGACTGGAATGGAAGTTCAAAAAAGAATGGATTAACTAATTTAGATAGCAGTAGTATTCACATTCCTCTGGGATATAGGGAAAAGATGCTAGAACTTCTCTATTGGTATTTTATCCATTGGTTTAAAATTTCTATTTTAGGGATATATATTATGCATATTTTATTATATATGAGTATAGTGAAACAATAGATATAAGTAAATAGTAAATATGAATATACTGGAGGTACATGCTTTTTTTTTTTTCTTTCTTGGTACTGGGGATTGAACCTAGGGGTGTTTAACCACTGAGCCACATACCCAGCCCTTTTTCGATGTTTTTTTCCTAGAAGGTCTCTCTGCGTTGCATAAGTGCCTCACTAAGTTGCTAAGGCTGGCTTTGAACTTGTGATCCTCCTGCCTCAGCCTCCCAAGGCACTGGAATTACAGTTTTGTGCCACTGCTCCTGGCTCTTTTTTTCTTCTTAATGATTAGAGTATACAACCCCAAATGTCAGGAAATCACTGCTCTAGAGTTTGGGCTGACTAGGTCATTTATATGTATTATTTTTCTTTCTTTCTTATCTCTCTCTCTCTCTCCCCCTCTCCCCACCCTTCCTTCCTACCTTTCTACGTATATTATTTTACATATATGTTAGTCTTATAATTCCAATGTCTCCTGGGATGGGCTGTATACCCTTTGTATTCCAGGCCCCACTTTTGAGTTTTATGAGACCTAATTTTATGCCACAGAGAGAAACTAACACTCATATGACCTATCTTCCCTAATTCCAAAGATCCTTCCTTAAAGATGCATTTTAGGTAAGGCAAAATAAGCTTTCATTCAGGAGGTTGAGGCAAAAGGATCCCAAGTTCAGGGACAGCCTGGGCAACTTAGCAAGTCTTTTTCTCAAAATTAAAAATAAAAAGGGTTGGATATATAGCTTAGTGATAGAGTGCCCTTAGGTTCAGTCCCCAGTACTGCCAAAAAAAAAAAAAAAAAGACTTACACCTCAGATGTTATAGAATCATTCCCAGGCATCTGGAGATTAACCTGTGAATTAGACCAACTGGAAAACTCACCTAGTGGAGGGAACTCAGTGTGGCAATCAGCAGGGCTTGCCCAGCCTTTCTTTTAGCACCCTGCAATGTACACATACTTTCTGTGTTTCTCTGGTAGAGCTTTACCCTGTTTCTGCTCAGTTTTACTCCGGCCCCTTGCCTCTCCAGGAAGGACAGTGATGAGTAAAAACAAACAGTACAGAAGACAGCTGAGGTTTTTGGCTCTACCTCACCAAAGTTCTGACTCTTGAGTCTGCAGAAAAAAGCCTGGGAGCTCCATGACAGTCACCAGAAGAGAAGCAGTTCTGTTACATTGCATGTTATTCCCAGTTTAACCCATCTAAACCAGAAACTATAAGCCAGGATGCAGCTTCCACTTCGTTGAAGTACCTTTCTAGCATTCCCAAAAATTCCACCACAATTATCTACAAGAGACTGAAAAACAACTATTTTCTGCCTGGTACCAACCATTTGTTACTTTAGGTAAAGCCTTCAGTGTGGATCTCCTCTTTCCTTGTTTTCCTGACTCCATTTTAGAATGTTAAATGGTAGTACACTAGATGTAACTTTTCAGTATCATTCATGATCTGGTTCTTGCTTATCTTTCTACCTTTAATTCCTCTTGCCAGAAACATTTACTCAGTAAGATTGATCTGCTCTGTCCCTGAACCAGATCATGGGCTTTCTCTATCACTCTGTTCCTGTGCACAGTATCTATTCTTTTTCTTTATTTTTTCTCCCCAGTACTGGGAATTTAACCTAAGGGTATTCTACCACTGAGCAACATCCTTAGATCTTTATTCTTTTAATTTTGAGATAGGGTGTGACTCAGTTGTCCAGGCTGGCCTTGAACCTGGGATCATCCTTCCTTGGCCTTCTGAGTTGCCAGGATTATAGGCCTGCACTATTGCACCCAGCATCTGTCTAGTCTTCTCTCTAGCTATCCAGAGAATCCTCACCCTTGAAAGAGCAGCTTAAATTCTATATTTTCAAATAAACTTTTCTTAGTTTCAACTGTCATCTCTCTTTGTAGTTGCATTTGCTTACCCATTACACACACACACACACACACTCTCTCTCTCTCTCTCTCTCTCTCTCTCTCTCTCTCTCTCTCTCTCCCCCTCTCCCTCTC